AAAACATATAGACATCCTCCTGGATATTAACCTTCATCAGGCGATGAAAGGAGACAGAGACAGAGACCCACATTGGAGCACTGGACTGAAATCCCAAGGTCCAAATCAGGAGCAGAAGGAGAGAGAGCACAAGCAAGGAACTCAGGACCCCGAGGGGTGCACCCACACACTGAGACAATGGGGATGTTCTATCGGGAACTCACCAAGGCCAGCTGGCCTGGGTCTGAAAGAGCATGGGATAAAACCGGACTCGCTGAACATAGCGGACAATGAGGACTACTGAGAAGTCAAGAACAATGGCACTGGGTTTTAATCCTACTGCACGTACTGACTCATTCTTTAAGATTTTTAAAGTGTTCATTTTTTTCCCTGTCAACACTTGATATTTATATGATATTGGAGTCTATTTTTGGAGAAATCTGTGTCTCCCAACGTAGTTCAAAATAGCGTGTTGGTTTTGCATTTATGCGGAAAAGTATGTTAATTGGCCCACAGTGCCCTCTTACTAAATGCTTCCCAGCCTAGTCTTTTTCTACAAGAAGCAGCACTCTGACTAGTTCTCATGCCAAACCGACCCTGATTCCCCTCCTCTTGCCTCCCTCTTCCCCTTGCTTTTCTGCAGATTCCATCAATAGAAAGCAGAGCTCTGATGGGAAGGGACAGTGGCCGCTGTGTTAAATGACCGTGGACGGAGTCCTGGGAGGTGTAGGTGACTAGTTCAGTACTTTTCACCGCTCCCATTCGTTGTTTTCAGTTGAGTTTGTGTATGATGTATGAGCACAGTCCTCTCATACTCTACCGTAGAATTGCTTTGTATGTGTTTTCTTTTCTGTTACAACTGTACCATTAGAATTCGGTTCTCACCAGCTTATTCCATGCCAGCCTTACCGTTCTGTTTACTGATGTTCGAATTCACACCTGGGTTTTTGGGCTCACAGATCCTTTTCCATTCAGGACCTACACTACACTCCCCTTTCCCCAAAGAGCTGGGTCTTCTTCCTCAGTTCTAGGATGACAATATCTTGTACACCACCACACTTGACTTCCCTTCCCTCGCTCCCCTCCCCCTCCCTCCCTCCCTCCCTCCCTACCCCCCCTCTCCCCCTTCCTTTCATTTTTAAAAACGTAGGTTCTAGAGATGGAACTCGGGTCTTCATGCTTATAAAGCAAGCCCTTTACTGGCCAAGTCATCTTTCCAGCACAGCTGACTTTTCAGATTGGTACCATCTCTGTCATTGCCAGTGAAATCTGGGCCACATAAAGGGAAGCTTTTGTCAGTTTGCTTTACTTCTCTAACTCCAGTGTTAAGGACAGCACCTCACACCCAGCATGCATAGGGTCAGGTTACTCTTATTTTGTGGGCAAAGGAAGAAATGTCTAGGATGGAGGCTGAGCATATCCTAGAAGACTGGCAGTCTAACAAGCTGGCACCCGCCATAGTGCTGTGCATCCTACTCTCCGCAGAAGAGCACTAAAGGTCTTGTTTCCCACTGGCTTCAGAATGTGGGCATCTTTTAGTCTTCTTCTTGTCCAGCTTGTGGAGGACAAGCATGATATCCTTTTGCTAGTTTCTTATTTTTGATTATGATGGTATGTTTCAGGCTCCAAGAAAGAGGGGCTTTTATTCTTGTGTGTTTGCTTCCTAAGACTAAAATCATACTTAAACTTTTCTGATAACCCATTCTGCACACAGGCAAGGGCACAAGGCCACTGCCTTGAGCAGTCCTGACTCTCCTCTTTGCACCAGAGTGAGGCCTCACTCAGAGACTCTGTACTTGGATAAATTCTGAATTGGTGAAGCTGAGGGCAGGAGTCACTCAATGGCGTGTGTCACAAGTTGTACAGGACCTTTGTTGATTGACACATGATCTGACTATGTATGATGCTTGAACAAAGATGCTAGGCTACCAAATTGTTTGCTCCAGAAGCCCTTTCCCAGTCATGAGTGAAAGCTTGGAAAGGAAAAAGAGGTTATAGACATTTGCCACGAGTTCAAAACAGTTATTTCTCTTAATTTTTCTGTTCTTTGTATAACTCTAGTGAGTCCATGTTGGCGGTTAGTCTTTTGAGCTAAGGCCATAGCAAATATTTTCTCATGATTTTTCCCCCCTCTAACCATGCATAACCATGTCTTGGGTAAATCTCATGTTATTTTCTGTTAATGGAAAATTATTTCTGCCTTCCCCAAGTTTCATAACTTGCCGCACATTTTTAATATGTAACCCATTTTTTTTGTTGGAGGGGTCATTTTTATGGGATAAGTTCCTAGAAATGAAATGGTGTCAAAGGGCATAGCTCTTTATACTGTATGTTTTCAAAGGCATTGCCCATTTTCACAGCCACACTTAATGGCTGCTAGCAGAGCTGCTTGATGTCTGTTCATTTGTATCACAAGAAAATGGGTCATCAGCCTTTTCTCCCTTGCACCCGCGCTGTTTGGAACGTCTTCAAATGGTAAGGAAGGCTTAACGTCCTTTAATGACTATCATTCACACAGTCTCCGTAGGTGACTTTGTTTGAATTGTAATCGTTTAAGGCGTTTTAGTTCCTCTTTATTTTTTCCCCTCCTCTTTGCTGTTTTTTTTCCTCCTCCCTCCTGGTTTAAACCGTGTTTTCTTGGCTGTGCTTAAGCCTCAGTACTTCTTGTTCTGTCTTTGTTGATGAATGAGAGTAATTGACCCCTGTTGTCTCTATTATACAATCCATGGCAATTTGTTTTTTTATGTAGTACTTATTTTCTGAGCTGTCTCAAAACTGCCTAACAAAAAGAGCTCATTATCAGCCCAAAGGAAAAGAATTTTTAAATGACGGCATGAATAACAGTTCCTAAGAGAAAGGGGGAGGAGAAGTCTAAGCCATTCCAATTTTCAAGTAAATGAGTGAGTTTTAGGGTCAAGATAATTAATTGCTGCTTAGACGAAGCCCAGCAAGACTTGATTGTATCTAGAAATTATTAGATTAGAAATGGCTTCCCCACGGACACTGTTGCATTCTGGATGTATAGAAGGACTGACTGCAGGTCCAAGATGGCACTGTGTGACACTTTGCAGCCCATCAGAAAGTGGTTGTAGAAAACCCAGCTAAACATCTGTATGTAACAACAGGGGGTGACGTCTACGTCAGAAGATTTGATCTGAGCAGATATGAACCACAAAGAACACCCAAACACAGTTCATACAATTGCATGGATATCAGAAAATACTTTGTACCACTGGCTCAGTCGGTAAAGTGGTTGCCTCTCACACAGGAGGACCAAAGTTTTCGGTCTCTAGGACCCACGTAGAGGAACCAGGTATGGTGTGACTTGTGTCCAAACCCAGCACTGCGGAGGCAGAATCAGGCAAATCCACGAGGGCTCTTTGGCCATCCAGCAAAGGCTGCTTGGTGAGTTCCAGGCCACTGGGCACTCCCCTCTTAAACAAAACCAAACCTAGATTGCACTAAGAAACAATAGCAAACGCTGTTCTCTGCCCTTTAGACACATACATATTCCTTCATGAGTATCCACCATCTCAAACAGGCATGAAAACATTTTGCCATTCATTCATTTTGGATTTTCCAGGTACTTGCACCATAATCTCCCAAAGTTTTCATTTTCAGCGTTGTGCGTATGTACAATCCTGTGGTGATAACTGGAAGCCAGAGAGAGCCTGGGGTCCTCTGGAGCTGGAGGTACTGAGAGGCTCGGAGTAGGTGCTGGGCACCTCCTTCGGTTCTCCGGAAGAGCAGCAAGTGCTCTCAAGCCTCTCTCGTCAACTTTTTTATTCAGTAAAGAGAATTAGCCAAGGACATAGCAGAATCACCGAGAAGAGATTCTATAAGGAAGCAAATGCGGACAATAGCTGTATCAGCTTCTTATTCTGAGCTGGCAGGCATTGTTTTTAGTATGTGAAGCCCTGGCGGGGAGGAGAAACAGCAGAGGAGAGTGAGTTTTCATGTATAAATGCAGAATGGAGAGCAATTAGAGAAGTAGAGTTTGGGGTGGCAAAGCGCCCCTAAGAAAGGAAGGAAGCCGGAGTGTAAATGGCCTTGGTACTACCCTGCTGACTCAGAACAGAGAGCTGGCAGACCTGGTCCTCTCTGGTGGGAGGCTTTGGGATAGAGGATTCTGGAAGGGGCTTGAGACACAAGTGTGCTGCCTTTGATTGAAATGCTCAGAACTTCCCCCATGTGGCTTCTTTCTCCTGTCCTCCTTCCCCTCCTCGAGAGAGAGAGAGAGAGAGAAAGAGAGAGAGAGAGAGAGAGAGAGAGAGAGAGAGAGAGAGAGAGAGAGAGAGAGAGAGAGGAGAGAGAGGTGGGGCACTTGTGTCTAAAACATGGTTCAGAAGTCTCTTAAGCCCTTATTTTATGGGAACTTGAACAGACAAAGAGAGGGCACTAGGTGGCGTTACCAGTGATACTACCACCATTGGAGTCGGGCTGTGTGTTTGCTTGTTCATTCCTCCTAAGAAAAGTAAAACAAACACAGACAGGCATCCTTTCAGGTCCACACATCAAGGTGACTGCACCGTGTGTGTATGAGGAGGGGCGATTCTACCCAGCTAGGCCTTTCTCATTTAGGATCCAGATGCTCTCATCTCCCCCAATATCTTATAATGTTTCCAAGATGAATATACACATTATGTGTGTGTGTGTGTGTGTGTGTGTGTGTGTGTCTGTCTGTCTGTCACATTCTCTCTCAGCTGTTCTGAGTAGCAAATCTCCTCATTATCAGGAGTCTCTCTAAGGCAGACGGTTGGTACCACCTTCCTTTCCCGGGTTTCAGGTCCCAGGTAAGCCTATGCTAGACAGCACACCTACCCCCCTTCCCTGCATTGAGCACTTTCCACTTAAACGTTCCACTTCTTCATCAAGGAAGCTCAGAGCCGTGAAACTTGTGAAGACTTCCCTCTTTGGTTCGAAGCTTAAGTTTCTTATTATTTTCTCAAGATACTGATCCAGGCTGATTGCTGTTCTGGTTTCCAGCTCAGCTAAGACTGCATGTGTTTCTTCCTTCACAGGTTACTCGAGCCAGGACTTTGACTGGGCAGACTATCACAAGCAGCATGGGGCAGAAGAAGCACCGCCCTTCTGCTTCAGAAATGTAAGACACTTTCCGTTTCTTCCCATTTGAAGTTGTAGACACTATGTGCCCTGTGCATTTGGAGAGTTTTGGGTTTTTTTTTCCTCCTATTTGGTAATCAAGCATGGAGTACCACCTTTGTGCAGCAGGATCCCAGAACCATCATGGGTTTGACAGGTTGCATTTCATGCTGTGTGAATGATACCAGGCAGCTCTGATAAACTGGTTAACAAATGCCAGTAGCACCAACATCCTGGAGTTTAGTTCCTGCTTTTGGAAGAGGCAAGGATCAGATATGCTTTGCTCCTAAAGTTTATTAAAGTGTGTGATCCTAGGCTGGGAATGTGGTTTTGTGGTAGAATACTTGCTTAGGGTGAATGGATCAATTCCCAGCACTGAATAAGCTGTGTGTGGTAGTGAATGCATGCCTGTAATCACAGCACTTTGTAGGTAAAGACAGGAAGATTAGAGGTTCAAGACCATTCTCTGCTATATAGTGAGTTTGCAGCTAGTCCAGAATGCAAGAAATCTTGTTTTCGGTGCATAGATAGATAGATAGATAGATAGATAGATAGATAGATAGATAGGGAAGTGCTTTTGTTCCTAGTAAGATGCTGGCTGAGCGGCTTCGTGATGGGCTCACTTTAAACATTACATTGTTGTTATTGTAGCAGTATTTTAGTGACACAAACTAGAAGTAGATAAATGAACTTGCTCAGTAGCAAGAAGTGGTAAAGCCTGGCGAAGCGGCGGCAAAATTGTGCTTTTAAGTTTCATCAGCTGTGGAGACTGTAGCGAGGGATGTGAACTATTCTCTCTGTGTTAAAAATAAAGCGTGTGTCCCCAAATGTGTTCAGTGTACCAGTACTTAGGGAAGTAAATTGCGTGCGCTGAGAAGAAATGACGCACCCCTTTTGATTGAGACCTGCAGCTCCCATCCTGCATAGCGCATAGCATTTGCTTCTGACCCTGTGTTCCCAGAGCTACTGACTGCTCCCCCCGCCCCCCAAGGATGTTTGTGTCTCAAAGATATCAGAGTTCATAGGGCAAGAAAGGAAAGCATGGCTTCAGAGAAGCTTGTCTGAGCATAAGTCACACTGAGGTGATGAAACATGCAGTAGGTTGATTACTGGGTTCATATGTACCCCTAAATACAGGGAGCATCAGCACGGAGTTGGAATTAAGGACTCTTTTGGCTAGAGGATGTTTCGGTTACTGACATTAGCAATAGGAGCAGTTTCTCTGCAACAGCTAACACTATGGGGGTGTGTTTTAAACTCTGTGATGGGGACAGGTACTACTGTGTTCCTGAACCCCTTGAGGCTTATTAAGGCCAGCGCCACATGACTTTGTACTATGTTGATGTCACTGTCTCAGAATTTACTGTCCTGTCTTTCATGAAGGACTAGGGGAATAACCTGTGATGCCCCAAAACCTGTTCAAGGTTGTGCATTCTACCCCACAAGAGAACTATTCTTCCCCTGATTCTAGCTTTGGAGACAAAATTTTCACATCACTCCTTGGCTCCATTTTTAGAGTGTATTCTTCCCGTGGCAGCATAGGTCCATAAGAGAGCGAGAGACTGGGCGTGGAGGGAGCCCAGAGGTTAATGTTAGGTGTCTTTCTCATTCACTCCCCACCCTAACTACTTATATGTCTGTCTGTCTGTATGTCTGTTTGTCTATCTATTTATCTATTTCCAGCAGTATCTCTCTCTCTGATTTCTGCTAGAATGACTGGCCAGCAAGCCCCAGAAATCTGTCTCCCCCTCTCCAGGGCTGGCATTACTCATGCCGCTGCTCACGGCTTTTTCCGTGGGTGTTGAGGATCTGAACTCGGGTCCTTACGCTTTTCTGGCCATCACTTTTCCCTTCCGAGCCATCTCACTGGCCCTCTGACATTTTCCTTTTATCCAGGAGTGTCTACATGGCATTTCGCTCTGGAGCAATTACCCACATACCAGGTTGTCTTTGGAGCTTCCAGGATTCAGTCACCGAGATTAAATCTGGCTTAATGAATTTGCTGGTGTATTCATTAGAACTGCTTTTGTTTCTGGCTCCCCATTTATTTAATAGACAGGAGAGCTGTCTGCCTGCTGGCATATGCATTGCATACTGGGACTCGGCTGAATTTGTTAGCTTGCTACAAGTGCTCTTTAAACGGAATGCTTATTATGAATTCATTTTTTAATCACGCATCTCATGTGCACGAGAGGAGAGCAGTGTGGAACTGGCTGCGTGGAAGACATTTCCCTGGGGATGTTTTAACAATCAGAGTTGGTTATAGGATGGATTGACATAGCCAAATGCTTAGTAAAGGAAACGCAGAGGTAACAGTTTTGTTATTGATCTTTTATAAATTACCCTCCAGCAACGGGAGGAAATGAAAGGAGGTTATGTGGTGGGAGCTTTTCCTTATTAAGTGAGATAAAATGCTTTTTAACTTCAAGGTTCTCCACACAGCCATCCAGCTGTGCCATCAGAAAGAGGATTCATATGTAATTGTGTGAATGAGGGAGGGTGACTTGTGTGCAGCGGGGACCATTAAAGAAAAGAAAGAGTCCAGTGTAAACAGCCCGGCTTCTTGTTTCCAGAGAAACGTGCGGGGAAGGAGCAAATTGGCTGTTTTTAAGCATGCAGGACATAATTTTTGTTCTGATTACATAAGGATACAATTGCCTTTTCAACTGCTTTTATAAAAAGACACTTAAATCTAAATGACTCTGATTTCTATCCCCATAAGAGTCACATAACGGTACGGTCTTTTATTGGTTTGAGGAATCTGTGGAGATGAGTTTATATGTTTCAGAGTGGCTATGTTTTTATAGTACTCTAGCATATTTGATTGCAGTTTATAGTAGCTACTGTTTGGGGAAAGTCACATTTATTTGAGAGTAATATTTGGAGTGAGGTTTGCTGATAGCACCGAGAAAACTCGGACTGAATTGATCTTCCTAGACATAGCTACTTAACTCCAGACTGGGTATCAGAAACACTCACACAAGAGTTGTGGAGCATGAATAGAAACACCCAGGCATGTTTGGGGGGTGGGGCAAGCAGCTGGAAGAAGGACCATGGACAATGTTCATGTCTATAGTCACAGTATGAAGACGGCCTAAGCCATATGAGACAACTGGCAATGCGGTGTGGGGCTCTCTGCCCTGATAAGTCAGTATCTAGAGTCCAGACTGACACAAATACTAGAAGTTTCCGACAGTGGAGAAGCAGGTAGACAAAGTCCAGAATCCTGTCCCATAAATGCCATCTGCATTGTTGGTAGACGCTTGAATCATCTATGTCCCAGGAAGTCTGCAGTTAACCTCGGTGAGGAGAGAAGACAGAGTGAGCCTTTAAGTTGCTTCTAAAGAGACAGAGGGTGTAGTTCAAAGTCAGCCAAGAAGATGGGTTGCTAAGACTGAAAACAGAAACAAAGGCAAAAGCCCCATGCATAGCCTTGTGGGAATATAGCACAATTCAGAGTTTCTGTGTCGTCGCTTTTAGTTCATGCATGTTTCAGCTAAAGCATAAAAAAGCCAGGAAGACTGTATTCCATCAGAGAAAGGAGAAAAGGAAGAAGAAAAGCAAAGAAAAACCCAGCATGATTCAGATGCTGGAATTGGCAGACAAACATTGCATGACCCTTACTGTACTGAAACCCAGTAATGGAAGGTATGGTTCTCACTGTGTGATGCCCACACCAGCAGCTATAGCGCCCCTTAGGGTCTTATTGGCAATACTGATTCTTTAGTTCTCTGCCTGTTTCCCATACACCCTGGAATTTGATCACATCGGGTGTAAAGGAAAGCATCCTTGTTGTGGACTTAAACATGGGACATAAAAGCTGCCGAGGCTAGAAGCTCTAGCGTTGAGAATGGTGTATGCATGAAATGAATTCGTCAGTGTAATAGCAGAATGAAAATGAGAGCTACTGGCCTCAAATGTGGAGATTCGAGGAGGTACAGAGGAGGTACAGGAAAGAAAAAATGGCAAGGAGGAATAAAGAAGACAAGTGAATCTTAAGGAGCAATCTCCTGTGAGATTGGAGACCTAGAAGAAGTGACTGAAGGAAGGTGAAGACAGACAGCCACCTCCCATAGAGGATGCAGATGATGAAGAAACAGGAAGCACAGTGTACAGGGCTTGTGAGGAGACTACTCTAGTGTGATGGGTGATGGCTAGTTCTCATTGTCAACATGTCTTCCATCTAGAGTCGCCTGGGAAGAGGGTCTCAGTGATGGGTTTTCTGCATAGGGTTGGCCAATGGGAGGAGGGTGCCTTGGTTGCCTTAACTGATGTGGGGAGACCCAGCTTCCTGTGAACAGTGTCATTCCCGTGGTGTGGGTCCTGGACTGAGTGGAGAAAGTAAGCAGGGGAAAATACACGCACACACACACACACACACACACACACACACACACACACACACACACATTCAGTCCCTCTGCTTTAACTGTGGACACAATGTAATCAACTCTTTGAAGTTGCTACTGCCTTGTCTTCCCAGATATAATGGACCATGTGCTGGAATTGAGTTAAAACAAATCCTTTCTTTCCTGAGTCGCCTTTTTCTCGGAATATTTTTTATCACAGCAACATCAGCCAAACAAAGACCCACTAGGTCTCTATTGAAAATGAATTTGAAGGTATCTATTAGAGCAGCTGAAGTTTAGAACACCAGTCATGCTGACGCTCCTGGGGAGTTATAGCCACTATTCACACGCGTGGGAATGCAGAAATGGGGAGACTGCTTTGCAAGCCAAATACCGGAAAAGGCTTAATACCCGTTTCCTGTATCACCCTACAACTCTGTTTCTAGAGAAGTGAAAATTTCTTACGAAGGTTTAAGCTTGTTTCCCATTCCCCCATTCATGTGATCTCATCTGAACCCCTCAAAATATGATGGTGTTTGGAGTGACAATAGCTAAAGAAACAATTACGAAAAGATGAAGTCTTAATCCCATGTCACCTGTGTACTTATTGAAAGACTAGAGGGATGACCATGGCCTGACACAGGCTTCACACAGCCGTCTGTAAGTTACAGAAAGTGACCTCAGCAGGAACCAGCCCGATGACAGCTTGATATTGCAATCTCAGCTTCTAGGACTTGGAGAAAACTAATTTTGGTTGTTCTGGCCACTTAGTCTGTTGCATTTTGTTAAGGTAACCTGAACGGTTTCATGTACTTCTGAACACACAAAAAATGTGTACCTGCAGCTACATTTGTAATAACTAAGTTGTGGAAGTAGTTCAGTGTCCCGTAACCAGCAAATGTATTGATAAATTTGATAAATTGTGGTGTGCATTGACTACTCATAGAACAAACTACATATAATTCCTGTGGGAATGATCCTCAAATGCATTCTGTTGTGTCCTGGTTTCATTTCTGTCACTACAATAAAAGATCATGACTAAAAGCTGCTTAGGAGAAAGATTCTAGCTTACAGTCCATGGAAGTAGGGAAGTCAAGGCAGGGACTCGAGGCTGGCCACTTTACATGTACAATTTAGAACAAAGAAAAACATTCCCTTCCCATGTTCTTTATTGGTTGTCCTCTTCTACAGTTTATGATCGAGCCCACGAAATGTTGCCACTCACATTCGGGATACGTCTTCCCTCTGAGCCAGTAATCAGGACAGTTCCCACACCCATGCTCTCCCTCAACCTGATCTGAATAGTTTCTCACTGAGGACTCTCTTTCCAGTTCATTGTAGACGGTGGCAAGTTGACTTTTAAAGCTGCCCATCAGCTAAGTGAAGGAAGACAGGCTCACAAGGTCTCATAGAATGTGATTCTCTCTAGTGATAATATAAAATAAATATGTGGAATTACAGAAACAAAAGCCAGATTGCTGGCCACCAGGAGCTGAGTGCTACGGACTTGCACAGGGCTCGTGCAAGGATGTTTGGAGGAGGTAGTGAAGGGGCTGTTCTGTGTCATGACTGTAGTTGTGGATGATATGGTTGTGTGCACTAGTCCAACAGCTTTATCTTTGTAGACCAACCAGGGCAACATAAACAGTGGATTTTGCTATGTGTATTTGCTATGTGCATGCTTTGTGTGTGAGTGTGAGTGTGTGTGTGTATGAGATTCTAGTACTTGTGTATGAGTGTATGTACAGGCCTGAGGACAACCTTGGATGTCATTTCTCAGCCGTGGTCCATCTGAAGCTCTCCAAGGGGAGCAGGCTGACTGGCTAGGAAGCTTCAGGGATCTATTTATCTCCTCAATGCTGGGATTACAAGTAAGAGCCACCACACCCTGAATTTTTTTTTTTTTTACCATTCATTCTGGGGATTGAATTTGGGTCCTCTTGCTTACATGGCAAGTACTTTACTGACTGAGCTACCTTTCTGTATTTCCCAGTGCCTAGCATATATAAATTTTTAAGTTAATTAGAAAAGTAAAGGCAAATAAGTAGTAAGAAAATAAAGACAATTTCAAATAAATGAAATCTAAGGAATTTGTCACCACCAGACCCATGCTATAAGTGAAAGGGCATCCTTTAAATGTCCTTTAAAAGAAAATGATACCAGATGGATACTCCATCTGCCTTATTTAACACCCTAGGTATGATTTTAGCAAGGAATATAGAAGAGTAGAGAACTGATGTGTTTTAGAAAGCCCATAGAATTGAGGTTCTATTAGAGACAGAATGTGTCCGTACTGTCAAACATTAGCAAAACGTCACAGGTGCCCACTGTGTGTTAAGCACAGTTCTGATTCCTGATCTTTGCAGTAAAGAATGTATGGCCCTTTGCTCATGAGCAGTGGGGAAAACAAGCCTGTCTGTACCAGCAATAAGATGCAATTGTGTCTACTGTCTTCGCTGGCCAGTTCTGTAGTCACCCGTTCTCTGCCTCTGCAAGCTGTTGGCTTAGGCCTACTTCTCTTGTTCTTTCAGGCGGCATTCAATCGGGGCTTCACAAAGAACATGAAGCTTGAAGCTGTGAACCCCAGGAATCCAGGAGAGCTGTGTGTGGCCTCTGTGGTCAGTGTGAAGGGGCGATTGTTATGGCTCCATCTAGAAGGTATGTATAGTCAACTGCTGTTCAGGAATACTTGGGGGGGGTCCTCTCCAGAGGATGGGGTACAGGAAGATTCAGCTCTCTCATAAATGCCCCTCTTGTTACTTTTCTGTTTAAACAGATCTTAAATTATTCAGTGCTCTTAAATAAGTGAAACTAATCAAATACAAATTCATTCCGAGACGCTCATCATAACTAATAATTTCATGAAATGAGATGCTGGAAGATAATTATGTTTGGAACACACTGGTCTTTTTACATCTATGATTATAAAAGCTAATGTTGCAATTAAATTAATATGAGTCACTGAAAATGGTATTTGAGGTCTTGGTCATTATGAGAATAAAATGATAGATTTGCATTTTAATGTGGGCAATACCCTTCATTTTGTTTTCTTCTGTAGATGTTTCATTTTTCCTTAAATGCTAACTGGAGGATGGCGTCTCTCTCCAAATACATTTAAGTTTTTTTTTTCCTTCAGTGATGTTGAGACAGTTTTTTACAGATAGTTTATTTTAGAATATGAAGAAAATTCACAGTGTAATGTATTTTGTGAATAGAACGTTTTAGATTTAAGTACAACATTGTGTCTTCCGTGTGTCGCATTTTGAATTAAGAGTAATTAAAGTAGATTTAATCTCTAAGGATTTCCAATATTTTCATAACATAATGACAGAACTCCGATGTTTGATGCATATACAAAACTGTAAGAATAGAGAAGATTATAAAAGACTTCAAGATTTCCTGGTGTATGGTTAGTTTACATCTTATGACATGTTCCTGTCACAATGTGTCCTAGTTACTTTTCTATTATTGTGATTAAAACACTGTGACCAAGGCAATTTATAAAAAGATGACATTTAATTGAGCTTGTGACATCAGAGGGTTGGAGTCCATGATTATGGTATAAAGCCTACAGCAGGGACCACTGAGAGGGTCACACCTTGACCTACAGTCATGAGGGAACAGCGGAAATGGCAAGAGTCTTTTGAGACCTCAAAGCCTACTCCCCGGAATACACTTTCAACAAGGCCACACCTCCTAATTCTTCTCAAACCATTCTAGAAGCTGGGGTCTGTGCTCTTTACATCGACATTCTAATTCAAATTACACTACTGGAAAAGAATGTGCGGAAGAAAGGGCTTGAATTGCTACTAATATCATGTGATCCTTATCACATTTGGAAGCAAACCTGAAAACAGCATGCCAGGTTTTCAGATTAGTTCATAGTCTCATAAACATTATAGTCAAGTAGACTGGAAGACGTGTAACGCGGTCATCTTAGATGTCATTGTGTCACTAAGTTCCAGATAATGATGTAAACATTGTGTAGTTTAGGCATCAAAATCCATCTGAATTAAGTGACATTCTGAGAACGGGGTTTGCCTTGTGGATTCCTAGTGAATGGCTTCTGCTTGGAAGCAATCAAAACAAAGTCACAGGCAAAACAGTGACACTTTACAGTCACAAAGGGGACACCTTTGGTTTGGCTGCTACTTGTAGACACAGGTCAGTTGCATTGGAGACACAAGATCACCCCCGTGGCCTCTCATCCCCGACTTGACTTCTGACCGTGTGTGTTGAGCTACACTAATGAGACTCTGCCTTAACTGCGAAACAGAAACAGTGACGTTGGAAGCCCATGTTTCCTCTTTATTATTTAACACGTTATGGTTGAGATTCTGTGGCAGTCATTATTTATTTAGCAGTTTCTCCTTTCAGTGTACTTTGCAGCTGTTAATTACCTAACACAAACAGCAGTAAGAATGTCCTGATTTTTATAGCTGGAGAAAGCAGCTAAGCCATTAATATCTGCCTGCGGTTCATTTCCACTGCTCTTGACATTTTCGGTTGCTTAATTCACTAGATGCTGCAACTTCCTGCTTCTTGAAGGAGAGTGATGAGCAACATTTAATGCATATTTAATATTTTTCAGCCATATTTTTTGTTGTTTTTCTGATCTTCTTGATATACAAATTTTGGGTTTTATTGGGAAAAAAAATTCCACCTCATGTCCAGTCTTATATTTTTTTTCAGTGCTTCATGTAATAATGAAAGCTAGAAAGCAAAAATTCAAAAAAGAATATCCATTTTCCAGATCTATTTTTTAAAGTGCTTCTAAACAATTGGTCGAATATTTTCTAATGACTGTTGAGTGTTATTTGGCATTATTGGTTAAAGGCATGCACCTATTTCTTTACTTAAAAGATATTGGCTGTGAAAGTGTGAGAACCAACATTTGGATGCTGAGTGCCTGTGTAAATAGTTGCTACGGAGTGTCCCTGTCATATCAGGGCTGGGAAAGAGGAGAGAGGTGGATCCCGGGGCACTCCAGTTAGCCAGTCTAGCTGTATTGCTGAGCTCCAGGTTCAGTGGAGAGACCCTGTCTCAACGTATGATGGATAGCGATTAAGTAAGCTACCGTACCCTGCCCTTTGGCCTCTATATGTGCATATACATGTGCGTGGGAGTGTGCTTATGTGTGTCTTATGTCTACACACATGTGTGGGATTGCGCTAAGGTGTGTGTGTACACACACTACCCACACCCCTGTCACACACATGCCCACAACATATATTAAATTCCAGACCATCTTCTTGGGTTTTGCTTGAATTTTATTTTAGTTTTGTTTTGTTTAGACGTTGAGCTTAGAGGTCGTTTTACCTTCTAAAGTAACAACTCAGTGGCACTGATTTCTCTTCATTTTATAATTTTATCTACACACAGCATCCCTGTCCTCAGTCCTGGGGATAAAATGGTAGCGCTTCATTATGGTCACTTTGCGGCTATTAAATTACTTTATAGGGTAATGATTATTCTGATTACAGGCCATTTATTTGACACTTTGGATTTATAAAAGTCTTTAAAACAATTTTATTAGTTATTTGAATGCATTAAATCAGTTTGAAGTCTTTTCGGTGCATGCTTGATTGACCACTTTTAGGTAATTAAAATGATCATTTCTAGTTAATATTTGACTCCTTCAGAAGCCGGATCATTCTTTAAGTATCTTTAGAAGGTCTTTTGTTAAAAAGAAATCAATGAATAAAGTGTATGAGATTAATGTAATATTTTCAGTTCACACTGGCAAAAGATTCTAATTCTCACAAGACTTGAAGGGAGACAAGACAGGGCTGAGCGTCTCACGATGAACCCTGCTCTGCTTGCTCTCATCTCGTTATTCCAGTGTAGGGAATCCTATCTGAAGCTAGGAACGCGCTCCATAGACAGCCCCCACTGTCTGTTGCCATGTTTCCAGCATTGCAGCTGTGAGCTGGACTGCGTACTCACCAATCGGCCATCTCACAAATGGGTGAACCTTACCCCAGGTCACTTTCTTGTGCAGCAGATGTGGCCTGGTATTGTCCATGGTTTCATGGCTCTTTTGTCCTTAAGTGGAGTCAGATCATTGTGTTGCCTTCTGCTGCCTCTCTCGTCTCACCCTCTTTCTCATCAACCTTTCTTTTGGATGCGTGATGATGTATAAGTTGCCAGTCCCTATCCAAAATGCTTGAGAGCAGAAATCTTTAGGAGTTTAAATATTTGCTTGTGTGTGGGATTCATATCAAAATGTGAAATCACATCACATCTCTGAGGGGGGGTGGGGAGAGGGAGAGAGAAAAGGGAGGATCTGAAAGTAACTTTATGTGCTATTTTTAATAGACTATACAAAATAACCAAACTGCCTCCTGGGTAACTTCTTCATGAAATGTCCTAACGGCACTCTGAAAGGTTTGCATTTTACATCGTTTTGTGTTGGGGCTCTGTGGATTAAGGGTTGTCTACCTGTATACCCATGTGTAGAACTTTATTGCACGTTTTGTGGGAGACCCAGTGGTACTCAGCTCACATTTTCAGTGACTAATACAAGAAACTTTTAAAGTGTCTGGGCAGACGGTGTTAAATTAATGAACATCACTGCACAACCTCACCAGTATCCATTTCCAGAACTTTCTTATCTTCAGATGGAAATTTGGTTACCCATTACGTAAACTCCCACGGATTTCACTACAGCCCTCGGCACTGCTGTTCTAACTGTCTCTATGAACTTCCTATAAGCCCCATCTGGGTAGTCCTACAGTATTTATCTGAAAATAGTTTGGTGCAGGATTTGCTTTTCTGCTTATATCCTATTCCATAAAGATTTGCTCTTTTGTCCTTTTTTGGCTGCATACATGTAGCAGTGTGCATGTATGTATGTCCACATGTTTTGGGTGCGGATTTGTGTGTATGGACATATGTATGTGTGTGTGCACAGTTGCACGTGGGGACTGGAGATTGATGCTGTTTTGCTCTCCACCATACATACTGAGGCAGGGTCTCTCACTTGAACCCAGAGTTGCTGATTCAGCTCGGATAGTTAGCCAGAGGAGCTCCCTTGCTTCCTCTGCCAATGTGTCAGGATTACAGGCAAATCTACAAGCCCAGCTACCATTTCTGTGAGTGGTGAGTCTGTATCTTTGTCTGTGTGGTCCTTGTCTGGTCCTTGTCTTGTGCTTGTATGGCAAGCACTTTGCTGGGGAATTCATCTCCTTAGCCCTATCTTGTCTCTTTGATCTTCACAAACCTGGCCACTTCATCGGCAAGATTATTAAAATGCGAGAGCTCAAGATTATTCAGAGTTAAAACTTGAGTTGTCAGAGTAACACTCCTTATTCCCAAATATCTAGATGTGATACTTCTTCGTTTTATCCCTGCCGCTTATTTTCTTTCATGGAATTATTTGTTAGTCAGTCTTTAACCCAAGCAGCTACAATCTGGACGTCGCTAGGTATTGTTGATGTGGGGAAGTCAGAATGAGCATTCTCTTCAGTCATCAGGCCTCTCTCTGGCAGCTTTGCTGGTGGCATTTGTCCTCCTGATCACAGAATGGATGCTCTACCTTTAGGTACCATCTCAGCATTGCTGGTAGGAGAAACATAGAGGTACTAGGGCATATCAAATCTGTCTGGGTTTGATTTTTCTTGGAAGCATCTCCCGTGACATAAACCGCAATTTTACTG